ATATATATATCTATATATATATATGTATATATATATATAAATATAGCCGTTCTGTGTACCTCTTTGTTTTTATTCCATAATCAATCCGAATGTCTTACATCTGCAGATATCAGATATCTGCGACGAAATCGAGTGTGAAGCATCGAAGGAGTGTGTTGCAGAGCCCTTCGATTTCCGGTGCGCTTGTTCCGCTCCATTAGTTGTGAATGGTTTTGGCTGTGCCGAATGCCTCCCTGGAACAGCGTATGATTTCAGCAACTTGCCGGGCGAATACGCAAGTATGTACAGTTATTCAATTTTTTGCTTTTTTACAGATTTTGTTTTTAAGTCCTGAAAACGTAGCATTGCATCCTTATTACAAGAGGTTACAGGTCGAGATTTTACTGTCCTATATGTCTTGAAACACCAACGCTGATACACACGACAATTTGGGTACGCCTGGTTTTCTTTTTACTACATTGCAGTATGCACTGTCGTACTGGAGGATTTACATGTAGTGGAATGCGGGTCTCGAATAGCTGAGGAAGAAGTGCGACGCTCCATGCTCCATATGCGACAGATGACAGGCGAGCCCCTATGTAGAGTACTACCGCACGAAGTGTGCCCAAGAGTATATGGTGGTGGGTGATGGCATCAGTCCATGTGTAGCGGTGTCGCCTACGCCTAGTACAACCCCATCGTGTATCATGTCCGCTTCTCCTACGACGACAGCATCACCCACGATGACAGCATCACCCACAATGACGTCATCATCCACAATGACGGCATCATCCACGATGACAGCATCTCCTACGATGACAGCATCTCCCACAATGACTGCATCATCCACGATGACAGCATCACCCACGATGACAGCATCACCCACGATGACAGCATCACCCACGATGACAGTATCACCCACAAGGACGGCATCATCCAGTATGACAGCATCTCCTACGATGACAGCATCTCTCACAATGACGGCATCACCCGCGATGACGGCATCACCCACGATGACAGCATCACCTATGATGACCGCATCTCCCACGATGACAGCATCACCTACGATGACATCATCTCCCACGATAG